ATATTTTCTCTATTACTGAAAATATTTAACTAGAATATTCATGGCTACCTGCCAGGGATGTTAAAGGAGGGATTCTACTTGGGGTCAAAGAGATTGAATTGGATGACCTTTAAAATACCTTCCAGGTTAAGAATATATGATTCTATCATATTTTCAAGTCAGATAGCTTATATGAAACCAAACTACTATTAAACAATAAATGTCTATTATGTTAGGGGCTTATCTAGAAAGAGAACATATCTAATTGGGAGAAACTGTGTAGCCAAGAAACAGAGGAACTAGGCAGCCCAACCAGGGCAAGGTAGAGGATCCAAAGAAGATGGAATATCAGGGGAGTCTGACAGTAGAGCTACTATGTATATGGAGGTATTTCTAGTCGGAAAAAATAACAGATGCAAAGTTCAGCTTTGTACAACTTAGGACATTCCTTTCCTAATGTGTACCATGGTACTCATACTCCCTCTTCATCCCATAGGAAGAATTATTGGTTGGAAACTACTTTGAAAATTGTGAACTAAAAATCAATGTTAGCTAACATGATTATTGTTGGATGGAATGCTTCCATTGACTTAAGTCCAGCCCAATTTTGGCTCAGATTTTTCTCTCCTTGTCTAAGAAGTCTACATTCTCCTCTTAACTCCAATCTATTTTTCTACCCTGTGTAGTGGAGCTTTCTCTAATCTCCTGACCACCTAAAGAACCATAGTCTCTCATTGGTTCTTCAGAATCTTCCCTTGCTTCAGGGAAAATAAATAGTGCCACAGACTCTTTCTTCTTATTAATTTCTCCCCATTTCCCACTGGTCTTTCCCCATTGATTTTTAATCTTCCTAGGAGATCTATGCTCCCTTTGTTCAGCTGGATCCTAGCATTTATTTTGCTGTTTGATTGTAGTTTCTTGCTTATCCTTCCACCTTCTGTACTTTATCATATATCTCTGGTGAATTTTAACATTTAGCTAATAATTTGAGCAGAATACTCAGAAACTAATATTATAGTTATGAACACAAAGGCATCAAATAAGATAATGTATGTTAAATGATTTGCAAATAATAAAACTCTATATAAAGGTTCATAATAATAATTCCTAAGGTTTGCAGGGTGCTCTGCAAATATTAGCTCATTTGATCCTCACCACAACCCTGTGAGATAGGCACTACTATTATCTCCATTTTATAGAGGAGGAAACTGAGTCAGGCAGAGGTTGTGACTTGCCCAGGATCACACAGCTAGTAAGTATTTGTGGCTGGATTTGAACTCAGGCCTTCCTGACTCCAGGGCCAGTGCCCTATCAATTGTGCCACCTAGATGCCAATAATGATGATGATGATGATGATGATGATGGTGATTTATAGATGTTATGAATTTTGCCTAAGCTGCTTAGAAAAACTAGATCTGATTTTTAGGGTGAAAGGGTAATTTTGGAGTGAGCTACAATGTGGTAGAGTAGATAGATGGCCTCAAAGTTGAGAAGACTTGGGATTAAATCCTGCCTCTGACACATACTGGCTGAATGAGCCTGGGCAAGCCATTCAATGACTCAGTGCTCTATGAATTTTTCTAAGACTCTCAGTTTCAGGGCACATTCATCTATAGAGGTCAGGTAATTCCTTTTCAAATATTACCTACCCCAATGAAATCATAGATCTAAAATAAAAACTAAAAAATCCCCCAAAACTTTATTTGAGGGGATTGACAGTAAATGATTGTTTGGAAGACAACAGTAAATCTGAGTTCTAAACTGGGAATTGGAAAGTGAATTGTAGTACAGAGAAGATGCAGAAGTCATGCCATTGTCCACAGGTGTTAATGACCTCTTGAGGGATTATTGAGATTTTTTTTTGATATTGAGAATCATAATGAAATGGAGTTTGATGCATGTCTATATCACCTGAGATGGAGGCCCCATGTGGGAGACGCTAGGAACCTGCTTCTGGGAAAAAGGAGGATGAGAGGACTGGTGCAAGGAGGGACATTTTGGACATTCTACACTGGCCTACCACACATTTGGGAGTAGCCTCTTTCTGTTGGTTGCATAGTCAGAACTTCCTGTGTCTTTAAAACTCTCTGACTGGAACAGTCTTTGTCTTTGTGATGGCATCCAGGAATGAAGAACTCCTTTACTTAGATCGTGTGGCACCATGCAGTAAATAGGGAAGGACCTGAGGTCCACCTTGCCCTTTTCCTAGGACATATGGCCCCAAGATACAAGCTTAGACTTTTGATCTCTTTCATTTATTCTTTTCAGTTCTATGTGCAGGAAGAGTGGAGCTCCCAACCCAAGAGCTCAAACCATGGTGTTCTTGGAGTTTAGGATTCCTTGCCAGATGTTGAAACCAACCCAGCAGGGAATCCATGAGAAGTCAGAGTCCCTGAACATATGTGGGAGTGGGCAGGGGAGAGGCTGGAATTGAATTTGGTTGGACTAATGCTATGTAGAAACTAAGTTGTGAACCCAGTCCCCTTGCCCTCCTTAGAGACTGAGTGGTATAGGGAAGATTATGGTCCTGGGGTATTAGGGGAAATGTTTGTGTGGTTTTTCTTGTTATACCTTTGAAATCAATACTCTTCTGTAAAAGCTAATATGAGTGTTAAGTGGTGAAATGAAATTGTGGTAGTTAGACCCCTAAAATTGAGAGAACAAAGTTAGTGGGGGCTGTAGCCAATGGCCAAGAAGAGACTCCTCACAAAATCTTTTGAAGTACTGGAGAACCCTGGAGGAGGCATAAAAATGTAATAAACCACCCATGTTACAGTTTAGTGTGGTGGTTGAAATGCCAGCCCTTGAATATACTTAGGATGGATTTTAGAGTTATTATTGAGTGTGAACAGAGAAGGACTAGAATGAGAGATTGAATATGAGGAGGTCTGAGTGTGGATCCTCAGAGATGATTCTGTGTTTAGGATGAGAAAAACAGTTTTAAGTTGTGGATATGTGGGGCAAAGTACTAGGACCCTGCATGGAGGCAGATGTACTTTCTCTTCTTATGGAGCTGGAATGAGAGTTTGTGCATCCCTAATCTGTACTGCTCATCTCCTATGCAGTGATATCAATGTCTTGGGATAGCTATGAGGAAATCCTCAAAGATATAGTACCTGAATAGCATGGCTCTGAACCTTTTCTCTTTGCATGGAAAAAGAGTGTTGAGAAGGAGGGGAAAAGATCTAGCATCTGTATAATACTGTAGCTAGGGGTAGGTGCCAAAGTTCTTTTGAGAATGTCTATGAATAGGTCAGTCATGAGGCTATTTGGGACTATAGGATAGAAGGGATGGAACCAAGAGAAATGGTTTTGAAAATAAATTATTATGAGAAAGAACAGACTTGGTAAGCTGGAGTGTAGCTACCTAGTCTTTAGGAAAAAGAAAAAAAAAATTCTTGTGTTCAACTCCAAGAAAGACCTGGACCCTGGGACCTGGGGAGAAAGATGTGGCTCAAGGAAAGGAGGCAGTAAAGAATCATTCAATTTCATTTTAATTCAGTAAAAATTGGTAATTACATACTATATGCTAGAAGCTGAATGCAAAGATGAAAAAAAACCGGGATCCTTGCTATCAAAGAGCTTTCAGTCCAATAGAGAGAATAGATCTATAATTTTATTGATATGGACACCCTACCCCCACCCCCAGCATGGTGCTTATAACCCATCCATGCTTTCTCATCCTGTGGTATTCTTGTTCATGTCCTCCCATAAATCTTAAATAGAGGCTGGGCACTTTCCTCTAGGTTTCTTATTTAAAAACATCTTCTGCATACTTCGTACTGTACTGTGGCTATCTAGGTTATTCCTTACTCTTTCTTCATCATTATTCTACCTCTTTTTTCTTTCATGCATTTCCTTAGGCCAATTAAGATAATTTTATCATATATTTAGATCTGGAAAGGACCTTAAAGACTGTTGCATCCAATCCTCTCATTTTATGGAAGAGGAAACTGAGGCACAGAGAAGTTAAGTGATTCTGCATGCACCAGACATTATTGGTAATAGGCTACAGTTTACTTATAATTGCTATGCATCAATCTATTGCCCTGTGGTTCACTCACAATTTTGAACCTGCAATGATTGTGGTTTTCCACAAAGGGCAGCCATAGAGTATATGGGGTTGTCTGTCAATAAGTATTTATTAAGTAACTATTATGCGCTAGGTACTGTGTTGACTGCTGAAGATACAAAGAAAGGCAAAAGACAACCCCTGCTTTCAAGGAGTTCAAAGTTTAAGAAGGGAAACAATATGCAAACAATGGTCTACAAACAATTGGATACAAATTATTTCCAATTTATCTGTAGGAAAAATTGGAAATACCCCAAGGAGGGAAGGAGCTAGAATAAAGGGAAATTGAGAAAGGCTTCTAATGGAAGGTAAGATTTTAGCTAAGACCTAAAGGAAGTCAGGGAATCCAGGACACAGCATGGAAGAGGAATATTTGAAGCATGGGAGACGGCCAGGGAAAATGTACCACATAGAAACAAATAAGGATGCCATAAGGTAGGATGTGATAAACATTTTCTTCCTCTCTGTATTTAAGAAAGCTTCACTAATGTGGGACCTGCTGGGAAATGTTAAATTAATTCTTTCCCAATGGCAAAGACCTCTCACATGTGTAGGATAGCATACTCTGGGTCAATTGGCAACATAAATTGGCAACCTAAATTGAATTCAAAGAATTGGTCTATAAGAGGTTTAGCTGTAGATTTCTTCAGAGATCAGGTCATGGCACACCTCTGTTGAGGAGTTGAGTTGGAAGGGGCATCAGAGCTCTAAGTGTCACTTCAAGTATTTTTGTGAGAAATAAGAGGACTACTACTGTGTAGGACAAGGTAGAGCCTGATGGAACTTGGGGATGAACTAAGATAAAGAAATAGGTGAAGTTCTTTTTTTGTGTGTGAGGTGATTGGGGTTAAGTGACTTGCCCAGAGTTACATAGCTAGTGAGTGTTATGTGTCTGAGGCCAGATTAGAACTCAGGTCCTCCTGACTCCAGGGCAGGTGCTCTATCCACTGTGCCATCTACTTGCCCCAAAGTTCTTCTTTTACACTAAATTTGCATCTCAGTTTAGTACCCTAACCAGAACTCTTAGGATGTCTCGTCAAAAAGAAAAGTCCGGACTGAATGCTCATATCTCTGAAAATCATCTCCTCCAGTGAAAAAAAGCTGGTGGCCCTCAATCATAACCAAGCTTTTTACTTAGTTATAGAGTACCCAGACTCTCTATCAGAAAGGAATTTGGTGGCCAATCCATGAAAGCCACCCAAATATCTCCATGGAGAAAAATCTTAGTACCATTTTTGGGCTATGTCTTGAACTGTTATCTGTGGGAAAATAAGGGAAGAAAATGTCCTTGTTCACTATAACAATTTGGTTTCACAAAGGACTAAAGGGTCAAAGGCAAAGAATTAAAAACTGAAGCTTTTGGAGTATCTGTTTATAGCACATCCCAGGCTTACAGGCCATTCCTTAATTCTCATGGCAATACATTTTCATGGGGTTCTCCTTCCACTCAGGCAGGTGGGCAATGGCAGTAGCCACTTCCTTCTGAACAGGCCAGCCCCAGGCCTTAAAGAAAGGAACCAGATTCTTCTGCACCTGCTCAGAGAATTTCATCACCCACACATTCATTTTGCTGTCATTGTCTCCAGGCAATTCAGACAGTTGTTGGTACTTTTTGAAGACTTGGATGAAAGACTCCCAGCCAAAAGCTTCCTGTAACTGAAAGGAAGAGAGAGCAGGATGAAGTATCTAGTTCCCAGCAGGCAACTCAGCACAGAGATATTGTTGAATTCATTTTAGATATAGCTATGAGCTTCCTTTACATTGATCCATGTTCCCCTCCTTCCTATATACAATGAAGCAATATCTAGATAAATGTTGTTGGACCCCTGAAATCTATGTTGAAGATGCTGATGACTGCTTTTCAGTATCAGCCTCAAGCATGTGACATCTTACATTACTGCTCATTTTCCCCCCTAGAAACTAGATCTTGGTAAAAATTTGACAGGTTGAGGAGTATGAGAAGGTGCCTAGACCTAAGGGAATTCATAGATTAGGGATGGAACTCTTCTCAGAAAGTGTTTTTTAATTTTTTAAAAACATTCATTAAATATTTCTCAATTACCTGTAAAAAGATTTTAAACAATCATTTAAACAATTTTTGAGGTCCAAATTCTCTCCCTCTCTCCTCACCCCTTTGAGAAGGCAAGCAATGCCATTCATGATTATGCATATGAACTCATACCAAACAGATTTGCACATTAGCCATGTGCAAAAGAAACCATGAACAAAATAAAACAAAAAAAAGTATGCTTTAATTTGTATTCAGAATTCATTAGTTCTCTCTCTGGAAGTGGATAGCAGTTTCAGAAAGTACTTCTTAAGGCAATCAGATATAGAATTTGTGATGGTAAAGGTGTTGGGAATATTAGAGAAAATATTGTGAAAATTGGAATATTGAAAAGGTGACTCTGGCAAGATATTTTATCTATGTCTCTAGCCTTGTCAACAGCAAAGTGTAAGAATGTTCCCTGACCTGACTAAATGAACATCTGGTATTTTGGTGACTCTCTCTCTCTCTCTCTCTCTCTCTCTTTCTCTCATGTGTGTGTGTGTATGTATGCATGCATGTATGCATATATATGTATCTAATGAGAGATGTAGATGTATTGTGAGATATATCTGTGTGTATATATATATATATACACATATATATATATCTCACTAGAGGCATATATTATATGAAGATACATATTACCTCTCTCTCTCTCTCTATATATATATATATAATCTTTCTATATGCATGTATATGTACACACACTCACATACACATAACTTCAGCGGAAAAGGATGGCTCATCAGGCTTTCATAAAATACCCTTTGAGGGCACCCAATTTCTCTTCTTCTTATTGAGTTCATTGAGCAATGTTAATTTGTTTTTCCAAGTAGTTTTCCTTACTAAGAAGTTCTAGAATGTGCTGATTAGCCAACAGTAATATTCTGGTTCATCTGCTTCATGGGGAGTGTTGGTTTTCCTATAAATCTTTTGGTTATCTTATCCATCCTATTGCTTTTGTCAGGTGATATATTCTGAAGAGTGCCTTTTTGCTCTGTACTTGATTCCTGGACTCTAAGGTGACTATACCCATCATGGTAATCCCAAGATTTATCTCATCCATATAATCATAGAATTATAGCTCTAAAGGATCTTCATTTTATAGATGAGGAAAATGAGATCTAGAGAGGTTAAATGACTTGTCCAAGATCAATCAGGTGGTAACTGACAGAACTAGGATTCAAAACCTGGTCTTCTGAATATAAATTCAGTGATATTTTTTCCATATTCTGTGGACTCTCTTCCTGAAGGTTGCCAGGGCTGTGCCTGAAATTTTCTTAGAAACTCTCTGAAATACACCACATCAGGTTTCTGGCCCACCTCAATGAAGACCTCCAGAGAAGTCACACAATAATGTGGAAACTAAGACACTGCCAAATAAAGCCAATGATTTCATGATCAGGGATAGTTGTTCAAGTTATTTACTATATAATGACACTGGTGCTCTCTCATATTTGAGGGAAAAGTAAGGAGGTAAAATTTCTTAAAAAATTCAGGAGATTGGTAATCAACTAAAAACTTCTAACTATAATGCAAATCTTCAATTTATAGTTTTAAAAAGTTCCTTGGGGGCACTAAGAGATTAAGTGACTTGTCAAGAGTCACATAGCTTGGAGGTATCAGAAGTAGGAGTTGAACTTTGATCTTCCTAACTAGAAGTTCCATTTTATATCCACTATATGTAACACTGCCACTCATCAGATCCTTTTATTCTACCTACCTATTTGACCTCTCCCTGACCTGCACTCTTCCTCCACCTCTGACTTTTCAAACTACTTTCCATCTATTCATTGATATATCTCATTATGTTTGGGATTCAGGTGTGGGGTCATTAGTTCCACAGGCACAGAGAGGTAGTCAGAAACATGCAACAGATTCAAATTTGTACAAGACCAAGTATCATTTCCATGACCTAGTTGAGTGGGTGAAAAGAAAATCTTCCAGGGACACTAAATTGAACCATAAATGTGAGAGTCTTCCCTCAACTGAGGGTTCTCTGTCTCCTATCCTGCAAATTCCATTAATGTCTAGTACCTGCAGATATGTCTCCAGGGCTGTCCAACCATACCACTTTGACAAGGAAGCCCCATTTTTCAGATATTCTTCTATTCTCTCTTGCCGTTCTTTAGGCCTCAATGCAGGGTGTGCAACATTCCGGGAGATGTCCAAAACTGTCTCATGCACATAGACAGGCCAGAGGTTGCAGGTGGCATTAGTGGTATGGTTGGGGAACTCCCAGGTATTACATTGTTGGTTATGTCCTAGCTCTTGGATGGGGCCCCACAGGCCATTTTTCCTTATATTGTCTTCAGAGAGCAGGCAATCCACAACATCCAGGTGGCCCATGATAGGGTACCCTGAATGCATCCAACCTAGGTTCAGGGAAGGAAAAAGGAGGTAGAATTCACATCCAAAAGATCTCTTCCCACTTATCTCCAAGTTATTCATTTCAACCCATATTTGTTAATTACCAAGTTTGTGTGAGGAAGTGAGCTAGATACTGTGAATATAAAGGTGACACATTTCTCAAGGAGCTAAATAATATAATATTGGGGATAAGACATGCACAGAAATAATAATGATATAAGACAGATTTAATCACATGTACAAGAGATGTCAAATTTGCTGTGAAAATTTTGAGGAAGGTCAACTATAGCTGATAGTAAAATTCTTAGCCAAATAAGGAATAGAAATGATCATGATTTATATAATTATAATTTATATATAATATATATATATATATAACCAAACTTATGGTTCCATATACATAGAGAATTCCCAGAAAGTAATTTATTCTACCAAGAAAGACCAGTTCCTTCTCTGTAACTTACTGTCTTGAAAAGTGACCTAGAACATAGACTGATTAAATGACTAGCTCAGCATCACAGAATTAGCATGTGTCATAGATGGGACTGGAACCCATATCTTCCTGACTCTAAGACCGGTTATCTATCCACTACAACACATTGTTTTAAATAGACTATCTAAATTCTAAAAAGCTTTCAAATGAACAAAATTAATGCAGTTTGGAAAAGACAGCTTTTTTTTTTAATTTCCACAGCAAATACCTTTGATCAAAGATATCCAAGTAAACAGTATAAGGAACTGATAGATCATCATCAAGTAGATAAGTGCTCAAATGATAGAAATAGGCAGTTTTCAAAGAAGAATTACAAACTATCAATAGCTATGTAAAGAATGCTCAGAGTCCAGGGGTAGGAAATCTGCAACCTCTAGGCTACTTATGGCCCTCTAGGTCCTCCAGTACAACCTTTTCACTGACTCCAAACTTCACAGACCAAATCCCCTTAATAAGAGAAATTGTTCTGTAAAACTTGGACTCAGTCAAAAGGCTGCACCCAAGGACCTACAGCATTTACCATATATACAAAAATAGTTACAGCAGTACTTTGTGTGGAGGCAGAGTAGAAACAAAGTGCCTAGCAATTCAAGAATGGTTGAACAAATTTTGGTGTATGAATGTAATGGAATATTATTTTGTTTCAAGAAAGGATGAGTATTTAGGATTCAAAGAAACTAATTGCATGAGCTTATAACTAAGACTTATATGAATTAATGTAGAATGAAGCAACAAGAATCAATCTATAAAATGATCTCAACAAAATAAAAAAAATGACTGAAAGATATGCCATAACTTTGATCAAAATAGTAACTAATCTTTACTTTAGAGAACTGGTTTTGAAAAATATCTTCTTGCCAGCACAGGAGTAGGCTACTACTACAAAATGAAGTTTATATTGTTAAGTTACAATAGTTAGATATGGCATGGCAGGTCATGGCAAATTGTTTTGTTTTGCTTAGTTGCACTCTGTTACAACAATAGTTTCTGTTGGGGAGAGAATCCTTGGGATGTCACACTGCTTTAAATAAAGGCATCAAAAATGTTAAGAACAAAAATAAATTTGAGGAGAGATAGAGCAGTACTAGTCAGGTAGATCAGGGAGAGTTCCATGGAAGAAATGATACTTGATTTGGATCTTGAAGGAAGGGAATCATTTTGTCAGATAGAGATGGGGGAAGGAATTTTTTTTTCCCATTCCAGGCATGGGACAATGAATTAGAGTTTGTGAAAGAGACTAGTATGAGATAATGTCAGCAAGGCAGGTTAGAGCCAGATTGTTAAGGGTCTTAAATTCTAGGATAAAAACTATATTTATTGTATACTTTCTACTTTAATATAATTTATGTATTAATCTATTTGTTGGACAATGGCTTTTTGGGTTTCCAAGTTAGTCAGGGCTGCTGATATGTGAGGCAGAAGGGCAGCAGCTCTTGGCAATAGAGAACACCAGCCTCTCCCTCATTCCAAGGTTGCCTATAAGCAACATATCAAATAAAGGAGAGCTTGAACCTCTTGGCTTGTGTTTTGGCTTACCTACTCTAGTAGCAGGTAATGGTGTTGGAGAGGGAAGGAAAACAAGAGAACCAGGTGAGATCTGTTCATGGAAGAATAATATGGTTCTTGTGTGCTGGGTTTGTATTCCCCTTTGTTGTATGAATCCCCAGGGACAACTCATTCATCAGGCTGTGCTATAAACTGTCCAAGGTCTTGTGCACAAAGAACACCAAGGAAAGGGTGATCTACCATTCATAATTTGTATCATCTTGATTTGTCACTGAGTCTGAGACTGCAGTGTCCTTGACAGAACTTTCTAAGAATTTTCCTATTTTTTCAGGATGACCTGTGTTAGAACATCTGAGATCTTGAACTTACTGAAGATTTTGCATATGTGACATACTTAGAGTGGTATATTAGGAAAACTACTTGGGCAATCGTTTGAAGGATGGATCAGAAAGGGGATGGACTAGAGGTAGTGAATCTATTTTGGAATTTATTTAGGAATCTATTAAAATAGTTGTTTTTTTTTTAAAGTGGATAGAACACCAGCCCTGGAGTCAGGAGGACCTGAGTTCAAATCTGGCCTCAGACACTTGACACTTACTAGCTGTGTGATCCTGGGCAAGTCACTTAGCCTAGCCAAAAAAATAAAAAAAAAATAGTTCCTTTGAGAAGTGATAAGGGTCTGGACTAGGAAGAAGTGTGGAGAGGAGAGAACAGATGTTAGAAATATTGTGGAGGAAGAACTGGCATGGTTTGGAACTTCATAGGATGTTTGGATGTTGAAGAGGGAAGAGTCAAAGACATGTAAGAATTAAGATTTTTAACATTTTAAAGTTCTAAGATATGGAGCTTGAGCTGCCTGGGGGAATGTGTTTTTGTCAGCAAACATGAGGACATTAGGAGGAAGGGAAGATTTAGGGGAAAAGACAATGATATTATCCAACTATTGCCTTTGAATTATCAGTAGACATTCATGCTGAGATACCCACCTGAGAATTAGACATGTGGGACTAGAGCCAGACAAGATATTAATGGACTTTTGTTTGGAAGTCTTTTGCTTAGAGGTTGTAATTGAAGCTAGGGTACTAAAAGTGATTACCAAGGGATAGTTTTTAGAGAAAGGAGAGAAGAAGTAGGGCAAGGAACCTGCAGCCTTGAGGCCACAGGTGGCCCTCTGTGTCCTCAAGGGCAGCCCTTTGCCTGAATCCAAACTTCACAGAACAAATCCCCTTAATGAAAGGATTTGTTCTGCAAAACTTGGACTCAATCAGTAGGCTGCACCCAAGGACTTAGAAGGCCCTATGTGGCCTTGAGGCCACAGGTTCCCCAACCCTGAACTAGGGCAACATCTTGGAAAATACCTACATTTAGGAAGTGAGAAGGGGAAGACCAAATGAAGGAAAGAGTATTTGTACCACTTATTTGATCATACTACCTTATGAAATTTACTGTTATATATCATTTAAGTAAACACATATGCTTTGTCCTTTTAACTAAATTGTTCCATCTCTAAAAACAGAATGTACCTTACCCCAAGGATTTCACATCATGAGCATTCCATTTCCCACTTGTCCTAACTATATCTTGATTCCTATATCCCCCAGAAATATCTCATATAGCATCTAGGTTTTGATGAAAATATAATTGGAATAACAAGCCATTAAAATATATGCAAAGGGTCCTTAGAGATTGTCTAGTCAAACCCCTCTCATTTTGTAGATAAAGAAACAGATTCAATAGAAGGAAATGATTTGCCTTGAGTCATTCCTATCTGGAAAAGATCTGGGACTTAAACATGTCTCCTTATTTCCATCCAGCACTCTTTCCAACAACCTAGTCTGGCTTTATGTCTGGTTTTCATATTAATAACTTAAAATAAATGTGTAATTTGAATTTGAGGTCATGTGTTTCTTTGCACTCTGTGGGAGAGAGTGATGTCCATTGGAAAGAGGTTTATAGTCAGAGAGCTCAGCTTTTCTCATTCTACCAGTTATGACTTGTGTGACTTCAGGCAAATTACTTAATTTCTATGGGCCTCAGTTTCCTCATTTGTGAAATAAATAAGGTTGCTCTAACTGGCCTCTATGATTCTTTCCAACTCTAAATCTATGGCTCTATGGTTCTCTCTTTCACCTGTCTTCCTCCTTCACATTCTCCTGACAAGGCCTTGCACATACAAGCTGATGAATATCTTTTCATTGAATGAATAGTGTTCACTCACTCACAGAGCACCTACCTGTTGAGATTTGCACATCAGTCACAATTCTCTCACGTCGAGGAAAGGGGCTGGTCCTGCCTCCAAGTTTGGCTATGGCTTGTGTCATCTCATTCCAGAGGTGGAGCACTGGCTCAGGATTCTCTAGATGTTGTAACTTTTCAGCTGGCACTGTCAAGACAATGTTCTCTGCCTGCAGCTCCCCCCATGGCACTGCATGGTGGCGGATAGAATTCTTCCACTCCTCCACAGATGTCTTTCCTGAGAACAGAGATCATGGAGTTATGAGTCTTGTGCCTCATTTGCCCCACCTGCTGGGCAAATTTGAAATTTGTACCCCATTAGGGAAAAGGCACACAGGGCATAAAACATATGCCAAAAAACTTATTGTGCTCTCTCATCCTTTCCCCTCAGTCTTGGGATCTTGGCATGAGAACTTAGTGAACATTTAGTGATTTCGGAATGAGGAACCTGAGGCCCAGAGAGATTGCGACTTACTCCTGGTCCCACAGGAGGCTACTGCAAATACAGTCTCCTTTCCACTCTATCAAGTATAGATCCACACCTTTCCCATTTCAAAATCCCCATGTTATTCTTTTTTTTTTTTTTTTTACCAACCCATGACTTTCACCTTGTTTATTATCAAGTTCATAACTCCCACTTGACTGTCTCTACTTTTTGGCTCCCTTGATATCTTTACTCACCAAGTATGAAGTAAGGGGCAGGTACAGCTCCAGTGAAAGTGACAGATGTATTTCCCAAGGAACAGCCATGGGGCACAATGATATAGACAAGGCCACCCCAGAGGCTGGAGATTGAGTTATATGGTTTATCCAAGTATCGTTGGTAAACAACCACAGGTGCTCTGACTGTCTTATTATACATACTCAAGTCATCACTGTGGCAGCCAATTTGTACCTAGGTGGCCAGAAAGGAAAAATATGAAGCATATTGAATCTAACATATATGTATATGTCTTTGTGTGTATGTGTGTGTGTGTGTGAGGAAGAGTGGTGTATGACTAATCTCCTTACAAATAGTGAGTAGCAGAGCTGGGGAAAGAAAAAAGTAGACTTGAAAAAATGTCCAAATAGTTTCAACCTCCACAAAGTCAGACTTAACAATGCCTTCTGGTGGCATGTAGAAAACTTGAGTTTTCTCAGTGACTATGCCAAAAGACAACATGCTTTGACAGATTACATCAAGTTGCAAAGGCTTTGAATGCAGTTTTAGAGTCAGAAAAATAATATATACTCTTAAAGCCTCCCATCCATCAAAGTGTCTCAAGCATCTGTTAAAAATCTTAAATGATTTCTGGTTAGTAGAAATTACAGAGATAACATTGTTAAATGGTACTTGGACCATTAGTATTAAACAGGGTATGAAAACAGGGAGAAATGTTAGCCAAATTTGTTTCCACTGTCATGCATGATGTATGTCCTCCTCATATTCCAAGTGGAAGAGGGATTCCTCATGGAGAGTGACATTTTCTTTAAATGCTCTTATTTGTGGATGACCTTATGGTGATTTAATCAAGCCCAGGGCACAATGGATCCTCCTCAATAAAATCCATGGTCAAAAACACTTGGCCATGGACTCCACACAGGAAAAAAAAAGTGGATGAAAATCGCAGATTATCTTGATTAGGGCACGTAGTTGGTTGAGTACCACTCAATGAAGTGAGTTAGTAATATGTGTTGGATAGGTACTGCCTATGGAGAATGAACTAGATCTCAACCTAAAGAGGAGGCAAATGAGCTGCAACACATTTGGGAAACTGTACAGCATGTCCAGGGATCCTAAGCTAATCTTTGTTGACAAAATCCACTTTTTTTTTTTTGGTTAGGCAATGGGATTATGTGACTTGCCCAGGGTCACACAGCTAGTAAGTGTTATATGTCTGAGGCCGGATTTGAACTCATGCCCTTCTGAATCCAGCGCCAGTGCTCTATCCACTGCACCACCTAGCTGCCTCCCAAAATCCACTTTCTAAGCACAAATATTCTCCTGGAGATGGTCTATGTCTTTGAAGAATGACTCTTTTAAGAATCTCAATTGCAGGTGATTAAAAAGACAAAGAAAAAAGGCATGCCTGTCTAGACAAGAGAGAACCAATTGTGGTAGGAAATGACCCCCATGGAAGAGGTTGTAGTTGGGAAAGGAAGTCAGTGGGTCATTTAAAGTGTAGGGTATGTGTTTATTGTGTTCACAGTCATGGAGTAAAGGAGCAAGGGGAGGTTATAGCTGTATAGAAATATGTAAGAAATAAGCCAACAATGAACAGGGTGTTTGGGGAAGTTACCTTTAACTTAGAGAAGCAAGCAGAATGTGGTATTTTTATATTTAGAGTGCAGCCTTCAGGGAGGTAGAGTCCAGTGCTTTTCCAAATATCACCACCTGAAAATCAGGAGGACAGGTTACTCTTTGATTTTCCCTTTCCATCCCAAATCCTCACATTGCCTCTTAAAGTCACCAATTCATCCTTTCTCCAAATCTCAAATATTTTCATACTTTACCCACCTGTATGCTGCCCACCATCTCTGGGTAATCCAGACCCTCATGATCTCCAAGAGTCAACACGATTGAGGCAGATATATCTCCAGGGTGTCCTTCTGGGGTCATCTAACTAAATAGTTTATCCCAGCATCCACTATTAACTGATCCCTGCCCTCGATTCCTCTTACTCTCCTACCATGAACATCTCTCCCCTCCTCTCCCCTCCCCTGCCCCAGCTTTCTACCAATGACCCATTCTTACTGTGACTAGTGAGATTCATCCCCATGTTGATAGAAGCTGCTGATGAGTATGAATGAAGGATGGAAGTTGTGTGCCTTGATCTGTAGATTTCTGAAGCAAAATCTGTCCTGGCATAGGCCAGTTCAGAGGCCATGCAGAGCAGAATGCTTTTACAGAAGTATTTGAAGAAAGGTTGGTGGCTGTCAACAACGGGGAGCTTAGTTTTTTTTATCACCTTCTTTAACATTCGGTGTACAGAGTCATAGATGGGGGTTTCTCCCATAGATATCCACAGGAAGGCTGAATAATCCTTGATGAGCTTCCCTTGCCAATGCCTCAGGAATTTTCCACTCTTATTTTTCAACTCCTCAAAGAAGTTGGCCATAGCTAAGCGGAAGTGATAGCTCCTTTGCCCAGGCCCAGGGCAATCAAATAGTAGGCCCTTCTTTACACACTGACTAAGAATAGATATGCCAAAGGGATTGAGGATGTGGTTGCCAGCAAAACCAGTCAAAACAGACTTGGTTGGGTTCTGCTGGGACCATGCCCAGGCTTGGCCTCCAATCAGTAACCCTCCTCCTTCTGCCACAAACTCCAGAATTTGCTTTGCCTTACTGTCATTATAGGCAATGCAGCAGTAAACGCTCATGTCAGCAGTCAGGTTGCTTTCTAAACTACAATTCATGCCATTATCAATGAGCTTGTGAAATAAGTTTTCACATTCAGGGGTCACTCCAATTCTGCCTGTTTGGTCTCCTTTCAGCCAGCGAACGGCATTGATCAAAAAAAGGCACAATTTAGAAGAGAAGAGCAAGCCCTCCTGTGAAAGAACTATCACTCGACCTCGGCCATAGCGGGCGCCTGCCACTGCACAGGCAAAGTTGGGATGAAGTCCAATAGGGAAAGCCAAAGGACCATGCACCAACAATTGAGAGAGAATCCCACACTCTGAGAGGTCCAGCTTTGTGATTCCATCCAGGAGCTGGTGCTGGTCTTGGAAGATCTCCTTCCCAAACCTGGAAAAGATTGATTTTCTTTTAGAGCTGGGGAAGGGGATAGAAAAGGGAGTGGGGATGGAGGTAAAATGCTTTAGGAGAAATGGTAAGTCAACAAGTCCAATGTGCAGAGACCTATAAAAAAAAAAGGACACATTGGTTAATTTTCCTTTGCGTTTTCAGGCTTGGGTCAAAGTGGATTCCCAGCTTTTTATACTCAAAATTGCAGCATCATTGAATGTCAGAGCTGTAAGTAACTCCAGTAGCCATCCATTGCTCTTCATTCAGCCCTTTAGGGACAAATAGAGTGAGTTGAATCTCTCTTCTACATGACAGCCCTCCAAATATTTGAAGACATCTATCAAACACCCTCTAAATCTTTTCTTCATGCTAAACATCCTAGTTCCTTCAACTGACCCTCATATAGCGTGAATTTGAAGCTTTTCACCATCCTGGTTGCTTCCCCTGAATACTTTCCCTGTTCATCCATGTCCTTCTTAAAATGTGGTACCCAACTCTCCTCCAAAAACCCATAAAAATGGCTCCAAACAGAATGTGGTACCAAGGACTGAACAGGTACAGTGGGACAATCATCTCCTCTATAGTAGTGGAACCTCTTTAAAAACTAAAGCATGCCTAAAGATTCCACAGTGGGAATTGTGTGTCTTGGTGACCTTTAATTCTGAAGGGAACAAACAGATCATCTGTCTTCCTCTCAGATGTCTATTTCCCAGGGTTACTGTGAAGGTAAGTCTTCTGCCACTAAAGTGCTATCTTGCTTGCCTCGTTATAACTGGAAGATGACCATGTATTTATTTATGACAGGAAGGCCCTATCTCTGATGCATCATAATGAGAGAGAAAGGCTTAGAGTTTAGGTTCAATGGTTTTACCTTATTGTTTATTGACCAAGTAATCCTGAGCAAGCCACTTAACCCTGATGTTCCTCAGGCAACTAACTCCTAGGATATGGCAGGGTAGAAAGAGCAATGACTTTAGTGTCAAGGGACCTGGGTTCAAATACTACCTCTGCTGCTTAAAACTCACATAATATTAAGAATCCCTAAGCCTCCATTTCCTCATCTATAAGATGTGAGAGTTGAACTAAATGGCTTCCAGTTGGAACCAGTTTTCTGTATTGGTGGGTGAAATTTCCACACTGACAGGTTCACCAAACTGAGAAAACTGCACATTACTCATGGATATGAATTATAATAAACAAATTATTGGAAAATTGTCATGCAAGCATTATAGACTTTCTTATGCCATCATGTGGCATTAGGCACTTACTTAAAAGTTAATAATAGAGAGTGATCAAGTCCAGATGTTTATTGCATTGCTAGCTTCTTGTTCTTTTGAGAAAGTTATCTTCTCAAATTTCTCAATCTGTTCCACAAATAATCCTGGTATCTTTAAAATATCTTCCTCAAAACAGATAAGAACTCAGAAGATAGCATTTGACTTTTGTTAAGATTGCTTAATATATTTTGATTTGGAACAGGACAACTAGGAATCCCATCAAACTGATATTGGGTATTACAGATAAGGTAATCAGCTTCTTGTCAGTCAACTTGGATATTATAAACCTGCTTGAAGTACCCATCTGGTAAGAACAATCTACTTTCTGACTGGGGTTTATTGAATGGGTATGCCATGGTCAAATCTGAACTTTATGAAGGTAATAATTTTGAGAGCTGAGTAGAGGATATGGACTGGAATGGAGAAAGGCTTATAGCAGGGAAGCCAAATCAGGAGGTTATTGCAATAGTATAGATGTGAGGTGATGAAGGTCTGCATTAGGGTGGTAACAGTATCAGAGGAGAGAAGGGGACATATTTGAGAGATATCATGTAGATAAAGACAATTGATTGGATATAGGTGGGGTGAGAATGAGGAATCTGGGATAACACCTAGACTGCAAGCCTGGTTGGTCATATGGAAATGACTAGGACTGTGTCACATTGCTATATTAAAGACAGCACTAATATTAAGGAAGGGGAATACAGAGTATAACTAGATATCTACTGGCCTTATTCACACACAATACTCCTCCTGATTTTGTGCCTTTCCCTAGCTTTCCCCCTTGCCTGGAATGCTCTCCTCACTTATGCTTCTTGGCTTCCTTCAAGATTTAGCTCAAATCTCACCTTTTTCAGGAGGCCTTTTCCAGGTGTCCCTCTCCCTTCACCCCTACTTCCATGCCTTCTTTTTGTGATTACCTTTCAGGCATACTGTATATGTCTTGTATATACAAACTTATTTGAATGTTGACTCTCCTGTTAGAATGCTAGCTCCTTGAGGTCTGGGACCATGAATTCACATGTCTTTTTATCCCAGGGCTTAGAAAAGTTCCTAGCACATAGGAAGCACTTAACAAATTATTGTTGACTGGCAGACTGTATACTAGATTTTAGGGAAAAAATTATTTAAAAAATTAGGTATAATCCTAACAACATAGATATACCTTGTTTTTTTTTCCTTAAGGTTGGAATCATAGACAAATCAAAGTTCATTTTTAGTCAATTTTGACTCTTGATAACCCTATAGATTATCAACCCTAATAGGTACTTAGATCTCCAGAGTAGAAAATTCCACCAATTACCCCATTATACTTGGAACTCATCTCAGTGACTCATTCTGCCTTCCCATTAGGTCAGAGACTTCCATCTTCTCTCCTTCTAGGGAAAAGGTTCCTGAAGGAAAGGAGATAAGTAATATTGGGACAGACTCCTCTTACTATCACTAGACCTATGAAACTCTATCTCATCTGTCTCCTTACCCCTCCTGTTCACTTACCAGTGGTGTCATCTTCAGATCATCTCTCATTCTTCAGTTTTTTGTCCCTACAGACAAATCCTACAACTCAGTTCTGGAAATATTCATCCATTAATAAGCATTTATCTTATAAGTATTTGCTATGTACCAGGCACTTTGCTAAGTGTTGGATAAATCTAGATAGCTACTCTTTCTTCTAGATTATCTACTTCATAGTAGTAATGATGGTTTTTTGGGCCTTTCTCTGGGAAAACTTTCCTTGTATAGATTTTAAAATATCAATTCAAATTAAGATCTCACATTTTCAATAGCAATTTAAGACTTTATCACTTAGGTGTTTTCTTCACAACAATCCTATGAGGGAATTAATGCAGCTTTGGTTATTTTCAGTTAGGTGTCAAATAGATATCTGGACCTGGAACTAGGAAGAACCTGAGTTCAAAAATGACCTCAGGCACTTAGTAGCTCTATGACCCTGGGCTGTCACCTAATCTCCACCTGCCTCAGTTCATTATCTATAAAACTGAGGGTAATAATAGAACCTTCCCTACTCCCCCTGCCAAGGATTGTGATGATCAAATAAGATACTGTTTGTAAAGCATTCTGCAAACCTGAAAGCACTATTAGTATTTACAACTGAAGAAATTATGGCTTGGACAGATGAAGTGATTTGCCCAAGGTTGCGGAACTAGGAAGTGGCCGAGCCAGGTCACAAACTCAGGTTCTCTGTCCAGGGAAGTTGAACAGCTTTTGCCATGGTTATTCAGATGGGGAAATTATTGACTTGCTACCTATCAATCCCTGCCTCACTTTACCAATTAGATTAGTTCTTTTCAAAGAGAAGCAGTAATCTAGTAGAAGTAACCTTCCTGGATGAGCTCAACCTACTTGTTCATTTGACAAGAAAATCTTTGATGTCTCCTTCTCTCTGGCAGTTTTATAAATATATAGTTGATTCAAACTGGTTTCATGTCTATGGGCATCTCTCCTCTCGAAGACTAGAAGTCTTGGTGGGGATTGGTGCATAACTTGACTTATGCCTGGTGCAGAAACTTCTATTGGGGTATTATACTTACTTGACCATGATAGGAATCTTAGGTATCTTCGGATAGAACTTAAGAGAACTGGTGTCTGCTTGGGTTTCAGTGAAGTATATACCAGCCACACTAGTCACATGGTTCCCAGGGAAGCCGCCTAGAACCTTGTGACCATGTTCTTTTGCCCATTGCCAAGCATGGCCTCCAATGAGCAATCCCCCACCATTCTTCACAAATTGAATCAGATGTTTGGCATAGGTGCTGTCAAGGGCATCAATGCAGAAAACCTTCACCGAGTCCTGAAAGTGGTCAACATTCTGCACATCAATGCCAGTGTTGCTGAGTATACTAGCTAGACATTTTACAGATTTGTGCACCCCAACAGTATATCCTTCACAGTGGCCAAGCCATTTCACAGCATTATGGAGAAAGGGAGCCATTTTGGCATCGTGCAGGTAGCCTTCATGTGACAGGACCACTATGCGGCCCTGACCATAGTGGGAAGCAGCAATGAGGACCTGATAATTTTTATTCACCAGCACTGGGAAGGAAGCTTCACTAATAATCAGGAGTTCAGAAGGGATGAGGTCACTTGGTAGCTCCCAGGTGTTCAACCCTTTCACCAGACACTTATAATCATGTGAGAGATTCTGCTCCATGGCTTTCACCTGATATAGGGAGAGAAGCAAAGACTCAGTTTGGTTAACATCATTAAAGGACATCATTAACAAAGATACAACATGGTACTACCTGAAATGGAATTGGATTTTTACATCAGAAGTTCTGTTTTCAAATATCAAATCTGTTGCTACCTGTATGGGGTGATGATGGGAGTTGGGAAGAGAGAGGAGTAGGGCCCTGAGATCAGAAAAGTCTACAGTTCTTGGTTGGGCTACCTTAATCACAAGCCTAGAACAATTTTAGACATCTGGGCAACTGAGTTGAGAAAACAGTTTGTGAATCAGGCCCAAAATGCATATTTCAGAAGAAAAAAAAGTGAAAAGGGCACTGACTCAAATCAGAACACCTGGGTTCAGATTCCACCTCTGATGGTTATTAACCATTTGACTTTGCTCAGTTAATTTAATCTTTCTGGGCCTCAGTTTCCTCATCTTAAAATGAGGGGTTTGATTAAATGGCCTTTGGGGTCCCTTCCAGTGCTAGATCTATGATCTATGACCCAAGATTGGTAATCAGTTCCCCCAGAACACAGAGGATTTTAGGTGTGTGTGTGTGTGTGTGTGTGTGTGTACATGAGTGTGTGTGCACATATTCCTTTTTACTTCATTTCCATCCTTTTTCTTCTTAATTCCCATCTGTAATTTGACTATTCCCTCTGCACTCTATCTCCATGGAAATTGTGGTCTCCAAGGTAATAAATGACCCCATAATCACTTCATTAGTGCTCATTCTCCTTGACTATTCTCGAGCATTTAGCACAGTTGACAACCTCCCCCTTGAAAAAAGTCCACTTTATTGGTTCCTTAACTTTGGCACTACTACACTCTCCTGGTTCTTCTCCCTCCAAGAGCATTCCTCTCTGGTACTTCTTTCTCCTCTTTTACCTTGTCTTCATTAGGCCAACCTTCCACTTCTTATAAATTTAGTCAGGACACAGCAGAGAATTTCAGGATGCAGTAAGTGGAATGGAGGAAGGAGTGGGGATACTGAAATACATCTGTCATCAGCCATCCCACTGACACTCTTGAGTGTATGTATGTCTACAGTGTATTGATATGGGTGGAACCATAGCTAGTCATGTGTGAAACAGTGTGAAAGCAGTTCTAGAGTTTTACAGAATAATCTCAGAACTAAAAACAGACCAAAGGCTGTTAAATCCAACCCATACCTGTATACCAATTTCTTTGACAATATGTCTGATCAGTTTGCATTTAGTTTGTGCTTGAAGGTTGATAATGAGAAGGAATAAATTATTTTTCTTCCACTTTGGTGGAAGGCCTAATTCTTACAGTAGTAAGTTTCCCTGTACATCAATCTGAAATTCATCTCTTTGAAGTTTCTACCCATTGTTCCTAGTCTTGGCCTCTGGGCCAAGAAGAATGTGTTCACTTTTCTATATGAGAGCCCTTCAGATACAAAGAGACTGCTATTATATTCCCTTGAATCTGCTTTTCTCCATGTTAAACATAAAAGCTTATGCTTACAGATATAAACATCAGTCCTTTTGACAGATGCTCTTACGGCATGATCCTTAGGCCCATCAGCATTCTGTTTGGTCTTTCCTGATTTTTCTCCAGCTTGTCAAAGTCTTTCCTAAAAGGTGGCATATCCAGAATGGAACACAATGCCCTAGTACCATAGTAGAGGTCAGTGAAACTAAATCCTCCATTGTTTTGGGTACTAGAACTGTTCTCTTCTCAATGCTACCCATGACCTTATCAGCTTTTTTTTTTTGACTGCCATATCAAAAAGATGACTCATATTAAGCCTGCATCCACTAAACCACTTATGTACAAAATATTATCTATCTGACCATTCTTTCCTTATGAGTTGTTCTTTATTTTTCAGTAGTATTATAAGACTTTTGATTAATCCTTACTAAATTTTATCTTATTATTTTAAGCTCAGTATTCTAGATAATGATTATCTTTTGGGGTTCTAGTTCTTTTATACAGTTTATTAGCTATATTTTTCATCTCTGTCTTTATCTAAGTCACTGATAAAAATCCTAAACAGCATAGGAACAAGGACAGATTCTCTAGGCAACTCTACTAGAGAAAATGACATGAAAAATGACTTTGAACCATTAGTGATTATCCTTTGCATTTTGTCTTTCAAATAAACCTAATTGGACCATCATTTAGCCTATATCTCTGTTTTGTATATAAGGATAAGATAATTGTCTTGTGTTCTAATACCCAGGTCTCCTTGCATCAGAGTTGACACAGCTGCCAGGATAGAGAGTATATGAATCTCATGGCTAAATACAGAAAGAAGAAGGGAAAAAACACAGTCTGGCTGAGACAATTAACATATAAATTAGACTGATGTTCCATTGGATCTGTAGTCAGAGACTGAATCTTATCTGCACTTTGCCTTTCTGGTAGCATCTAACATAGTGTTCCGCACTCAGAACCAGTAGATATGCTTAAATATTTTCGAATCATTTTTTAGATCAGCATGAAAATGTGGGAGAAGAATAGGACTTGGGGTCATGTTTTAATCATGACCTTACCTCTAAATAGTTACGTGAGAAGAAACTGTGATATCACCTTATTGATACTGAAAAAAAAAAATCTGATTCTTAACTGAAAAGCTCTGAGATGAAGTTAAGAAAGCAGTAGAGAGACTGAGAAAATTAAAGCTACAGGGAGAAAAACACAAAAGACAAAGAGATCAGCCCCTAGCCTCTGCCTCTGGAACTGTTTCCTCCTTTTTTAGCACACATATTATCCATATGTTACACACACATCCCATTCCAGCCCCCATGGATACACACATCCATCTGATTACCATTGGTCATCTGGTGTTGTGCCCTCTCATGCAAAGAACATGATAGAATCGTGCAATTTTAGGGTCAGGAGCATGCATCATCTCTACAGTGTCCCTAACAGGTGGCCATCCAGACTCTTCTTGAACATTTCTAGGCATAAGGAACTCCCAGTTATGTCTGTTGTTGGACAGTTCTAGTTGATAAAGAATTCTTCCTTACATTAGGCTCAAACCTACTTCCCTATATCTTTCATCCAGTGGTCTTGGTTTTGCGTTCCAGAGTAAAGCTGGACAAGTAAAACTCTTCTTCTGTAAGAAAACTATGTAACAATGGTAGGGATAGTGTCTTCTTGCCTCTTGCCAGCATTCCCTCTCACCACTCCCAACCCTCACTTATCTTTTTGGTGGGATAGAAAACTTGCTTCCATCCTAGAAGAAAACTTACCCTTCTATCCTGGAAGTTCAGCTTAGGGCTTGGAAGAAGATATGTGGCTCAAGAATGCCAAACCTAGAAAGCTGAAAATAAGAGAGATGGTGTGGGTGGAGTAATAAGAAGAATGGGAGGAGGAAAGAAAAGGAGGAGTCACATTTAGGTGCTCTTCCTTCTTACATCCTACTGGGTTTGACTGAGGGTGTGAAGGAGGTACAGAGCCTTTGACTAGACAGGCTTAGTGTGTCAACCTGAGCTTGCCTTCTAGCAATTGTCTACCCTGAGTCACTTACTTATGTATCTACGAAACTGAGATTTCAGTGATTTAGTAACTCCGGGTCCAAGAACAACTTTTAAACTCCTTAGCCTGGCATTAAAGGCTCACTACAATTTGGTGCCACTCATCCTTTCTAACCTTATGTCATATTAATATCTTCCATGTACTCTGTGCTGTAGCCAAATTGGGTAGAATCATGGAACCAGATGTCAGCCCAACAGTTTTATGTTTTATTCTATAGGAAATAAAGAAACATTGAAGGTTTTAGAGCAAGGAAGCTTGGTCTAGAATTATTATTATTATTATACACAATAATACACAATATCTACGTTAATGTGGTACAAAAAATATGCTATCAAAGGTCCCAGGGAAATACTCTCTTCTGATATGGTAGATTGGGGAAAGTTTCATTGATAGGAGGAGCAAGGAAATAAACAATAATATTTTATTACTAAGTAAATAACTTTTGAATTAAAAACAGAATTTGGGAATCATTCTGGAGGAGAGTTCATCAAAATATGACCCATTTTGAGTTAGAGTGTAATGCCTTCTTCATTTTGGCTGCATCAATGTAGCACCACCTAGTGACAATGAAAGCATATTTTGCAAAGAAGAACGATCCATGACTAGTAAAAATCCCTACTAGAAAATAAAGTTTTGGTTGACAACTGGTGATAAAGGCAGGGCTAGATGCCAGATCTTCTGATTCTTTATTCAATACTCTTTCCATTGGAGAAAAGACCATATGTTGGGGAAAAAAGTAGGATCAAAGAAGGCATAAAGAGCAAGCATGGATAGGATTAGCATAACTGTTAAAAGATAGGATGGTGGAGCTGCTCAATTTTTATTTTTCACTTTTTTTCTCTAGAGAGACAACTAGTTTTGGACTTGAAAGAATAAATCGGTAATAGAAAATGGATGCCCTCGTAATTAAAGAGAGAATAAGAGAATACCTATATGACCTTTATGTGTTCTAGTCATTGGGTCCAGTTGCACTATATCCTTTAATTTAGCATTGAAAAAATGACAGACTTGATTGATTAGTCAGTGTCAGTGAGATCTGAATGACTGTGGAGAATTGAAATAGTATCACGCCACTATAAAAGCTCAAATATATACTTGACTTTCCAAAAAGGAAAAGAATGAAATCTGCAAACTATAAGGCGGTCAACTTGAGTTTGCATCATGGCAATATTCTAGAACATATTAATGAAGAGATGGGTAGTGAATAATTAGAAAAGGAAGCAATCATCATGAAGAACCATCATGGTTTCATCAAGAACAGATCATTTTAGAACAGCTTTATTTTCCCCTTTTTAAGAGGATATTTGAACTCACAAATCAGGGACATTCTGTAGATGTGATTTTCTTAGATTCCAGACGAGCATTTGACACAATATCTCGTTATTATTGAAGGAAAAGCTGGAATAGACAATATGGCAGTAGATTTGGTTCCAGCAGTGGACATAGATTCAAATCCTAACTCTGCCACTTAATACTTGTAGGACTTTGGCCAAGTCTTAACTTTTGTAGGCCTCAGTTTCATAGTTGGTAAAATTATGACGTTGTATTAGATGGCTTCTCAAGCCCCATTTAAACTCCAAATCTATGACCTTATGATGCTATAAGGGCTAGATAAACAGCATCTCACACCACACTCATCTTTTATATATATATGTATATAAACATGTACATATATGCAATATACAAGCATATAGAATAATACATATACTCACATTCACAATACAGATGCATGCATACATGCATATATGTATACATGTGTACCTATTTATGCTTTTATATGTGTTTATGCATGTATCTATACATGCATAGATACATACATACATGAAAGGACAGCTGAAACCATCTGGGAAAAGAGATAAAAATGATTCATAAACTAGGTACTCCATTGGTGCAACTTGGATAACAAGTCCCATAGCTAAAGTGACATGTACATTCATCTATCTAGCTCTAGCTCTCTATGTTTCTCTGTTCTTAGAAGCCTTCAGTGGCTCACTATAGCTGTCAGGATCAAAATGTAAAAGCCTCAGTGAGCATTCAAAGTCTTCATACTCTATCCCTAACCTTTTCAATCTTATAATTCAATCCTTTCTTTCATGAAGTCTCCACTCTAGGCAAACTGATTTACTTGCTATTCCTTGAACATGTTTTGTCTTTTTCTACACGAACACTTTTGATTACACTGTTTCACTGTCCTGGAAGGCTGGATCGGTTCCTCCATTAATAATTAGTGAGTAAAATGGGGCAATGGGCACCTGAAGGGCCACCTGGTGGTATATGTAAAAATTACACTTTGAATGGCATTTGCAAATATTACATTTTGAATGGTTATTGCATTTCCATATGTGTGTATAGATAATGTACACACACATATAATTGTATATATATATGTGTATATATATATATATATACATATTCATGCATGCATATGTGGAAAAGCAGGTAGAGAGGTAGCCAATGCCCATATGATTACCAGTGGGGAAATAGTTTTTAGCTATCCTTCCTCTGAGGGCAGCTAGGCAACACAGTGGATAGAGTGCTGAGCCTGGAGTCAGGAAGACTGATCTAAATGACTTCAAATCTAGCCTCAGATACTTAGTAGATGTGTGACCCTGGGTAAGTCACTTAACCCTGTTTGCCTAACTTCCTCATTTGTAGAATGAGCTGGAGAAGGAAATGGCAAACCACTCCAGTACCTTTGCCAAGAAAACCCCAAATAGGGTCATGAAGAATTGGACATAACTGAAAAATGACAGAACTCAACCATCTTTCCTTATTTAAAGAGAAAGGGCACTGGATTGGTCAGAAGACCTTGGTTCCAATCCTAGATTTATTATTTATTTCCTGTGTAAACTTGACCAAGTTACTTGACTTCCATTGGCTTTACTTTCCTTGTCTGTAAAATTGGAGAGTTGAACAAAATCTCTAAGATTCCCCCAAGGTTTACATCCTATGTCATTCACTGAATTCCAAATGACTCAGTAAAGAGAAAGGCTGAATTTTCTCTTCCTTTCACAGTCCTGGTGGTAATACTCATACTTAATTCCCATTTGGAGAAGTGATGCTCTGCAACTGATTCAGTCCACTGCAGGTAGTATCACCATCACCATCATTAGGTCCCTGGAGATTGTGAGGAATAGGGTTATTATATGCTATACAATTTTATTTCTTTCTTTACCTTTGTTTAGATCTCTCTGTCCACCACCTTTCTAGATCAGCTTTTTCTCTGGCTATCCAGCAAATTTGACTTCTCTTCTTGAGAAGAGAAATTCTCCTTCTGTATTCTGCTTCTACCCTTAGTCTAAACTGAATCTCTCTTTTTTTCAATTCCCTTATACATGGAGGAAACAATGTCCCATCTGTCTAGTTTCCAGGTTCTTCTATCTATCAGACTGAGCTATACCTAAGAGAGTTCCTTGGTTTCTGGAGCAGTAGAACAAGTTTTTACTGTGTGGTGCAATGAAAAGAGCATGGGCATGACTGGTCATGAAATCAGAACACTAGGGTTTGAGTCCTGGCTCTGTCATTTACTAGCTCTCTGACCATAGGCAAGTTACATACCTCTCTCAACAGCTCTTAAAAGGGGAACATAATACTTGTTCTACTTGCTTCACAAATTTAGGGCTATTTAAATGTGCTATTATTATTCTCCCAACCATTTGTTTACTGAGATATTCTGCCAACTTTCCTTCTGGCTCTGCCTCTTTCCTATCTTCCTGTTATTTTTCTTTTATTACTCATTATCCTCCATTCCCCTAGACACATGGTTAATAAGATGACCCTATTGCTTAGTCACCATTCCTTAATTCTAAATCAGTCTCTATTTCAATTACTTTTTCAGATACTCCATCTAGTTCTTTAAAAATTCAAGTCCAGTTAATCAGCATAGCACAGAATCACAGAATTTAGAAGTTGGAGAGTCATCTAGCCTAATCCTGAAGGCATTACCCATTATAATGTATGTACCAAGTGACCATCCAGCCTTTGCTGGAAGAACTAAAATGAAGGGAAATTCTACCATCCATGGCAGTCTATTCTGCTTTTGGAAACCTTTAATTGTAAGGAAGTTCTTCCTGACATCAAGCCTAAATGCCTCTTTGCAATTTCCACTCATTCCTCATGGTACTGTCGTCTGGGGCTAAGTAGAACAAGATTAATGCCTGTTCACATGATAGCTGTTTAAATGCATAAATGCAAGTACCATGTCCCTCCTTAATCTTCTCTTTTGTAGGCTAAACATCCTCATTTCCTTCCACCCATTTTCATATGATATAGACTCCAGGTACTTCTCCAGTTGATGCTCTACAGTTTGTTAATACCCTTCTTAAACTGTGATGCTCAGAATTGAACATAAAGCTCCAGATGTGAAATCCAGTGGAGAATCCAGAGAAACTCTTCTTCCAGAGAGACTTTTTTTCTTCTTGGAAGTCATGCCCCTCTTCAATATTTTTTTTTTAGGAAGTTGGGGTTAAGTGACTTGTCCAGGGTCATACAGCTAGTAAGTGTCAAGTGTTTGGTCTGAGGCCAGATTTGAACTCAGGTCCTCCTGACGTAAGGGCCAGTGCTGTATCCACTACACCACCTAGCTGCCCCTTTTTTTTTCAATATTTTTTTTTTAGTCATGCCCCTCTTAATGAAATCCAAGATTTTAGTAGCTTTTTGGGTTTCCACATCATACTACTAATTCATATTCAGTATATGGTCCACTAAAAACTGCAATTTAGAGGCAAAGGACATGGGTTAAAATCCTGGCTCTTCTGCTCACTGTATGACTTTGTGCATTACCTTA